CCTTGCCACTTCCAAACTCTTTCGTTTTTAAGGTAATTCTATAAACTCAAAGTGAGACGATTCAATGGCAGTCTCCATGTAAGAAACTAAGTTTCACAGGAAGTGAGTGGCAGTACTTGGTTATGTAAGTCATGTGGAACAAAAAACTACACTGAACGTGAGCCTGAGAGAAGTCATACGTACAAAGCATCTGTGGCCAGCAGGAAGGGGGTCCGGGCCGTTCCCCCCCCCACCAGCCACTCCGGGCAGCTTAGCTGGAGCTCAGGGGCAGAACCAGGACTCCTCCTTCCATCACTTGCTGTGGCAAAAGGCTGTCACCCAAGAATACTTTAAAACCAAAGCAAAGTATGACATGGCCTGCAAGACGACATGCGGCTTTCATCACTGGGAACTGAATTGCAAAGATCTACTTTCCAGCAGACAAGATACACAGGGTAATTATGAAAGCTCCAAGCTGTTTAAAGAAGGCCTGCGAGAGAGAAGAGATAAAAGGGAATTTAGCTGGCTAACAGCTGCAACGAATGCACATCCACTTGAACGGGGACGGGCAGCCACCTGAGAGCAGATATGTCACTTTTCCCTGGTTATCAAAAGTCACCAACACGAGATGCAAGGCCCCTGAGCTGGTCAGTCCATACCTGAATTCATTAGCCTCCTACAACTCCACCAAAAGTCACCTAAAATCTGCAGGTGTAACTTGCTGAAGATCAAAGCCTGGATACAATCTTAGAACAAATGCACTATTACTTCTCTTCATCAAAAAGGCTTTGGAGTAAAGAGAAACGAGAGACTGTTTCACTCACAATCAGTAAATATACAACTTATTTCTGAAAACAGTTCTTCCAGGAAGAAATCGATTGGCAAGTGCCATGTAACTTGAAATTGATTTTACTATGTGGATATTTTTTAAAAAGTTCTTTTTTTTTTTTAATTCCTGGGAACTGGAATGTCACCACAATTGCTTCCCAAACCAGATTGCAAATTCAATTCAGACTGCATTTTAAAAAAAAAACCCTCTAGCTAAAAAGAACTATTTCAAGGAGTTATTCTAAGATTTATAATCTAATCTTTTCAATGTAATTAAAAATAAATGTGGGGTCCTGAATATGGAATAACTTGTGAAATCGGTATTAATAAGAGGACTTAAGATTTCTAAAGATGCTACCTGCTCTTTTTTTCCCATTAGAAAAGTACATACAAGTGAGTATTTATTAATGTTTTTTTTTTTTGTACACAGAGGCATTCACTTAGCAATTCAGTGAGCTATTCTTTAAACCACTGACCTTTTTTTAATTCACGTAAAAATTCTTGAGCCAAAATAAGATTTTAGGGGAAAGAATTTTTTTAAGCAAAGTTTTCACAATTCTGAAATACACCACCCATGCTTATCCTTTGGGAAAATGAACTAAGCCATGCTCATTAATGGCTGTGTCCCCAAGTCACCAAATAGAAATGTTCTACATAGTGGGTTTTTTTTTTTTCTGCCTCAAACCTCTTCCTGAACCCATCCCCAAAGTAAGTTTCCACAGCCTCCCCTTGGCTTCTCCATTTTCATCACTGCAAGTCAGTCTGCCACTAACTGAATTTTCTAAGTGACATCAAAGGCATCCTTTTCTCTGGCTGCCTTAAGAATCAGCTTCAGCCCAGTCTGGGCCAAAGCATGCGTCTCCCTCCTCAGGACCCAGAACGTCCTGGCAGGGAGGACTGGGAAAGGTGGGGGAGAACTCACCCTCTCACCACTGGCCTTTCTTTTCTGAAAAGAAGAAAAAAAGAAAAAGAATAATGCAACCACCGGCGGCCTCCGGTCTCACCTCTGGAGCTAGGTTCTTCCACAGTTACCTAGAAGGCCTCTTCCATAGTGCTCACAGCTGGGCCTGCGCTCGCGGGTCTACAGGAGACTCTGAAAAGCGTTTCTGAAGACTCTTAGCTAGACGGGCTAGGACTGGCCCTGTCAGGTCTAAGCGTGCACTTTTCCAAGTAGCTTTGGTCTTCGCCTGTTAAAAGACCTGGGTTCTCCACACCCACCACTGAGTCCGGTGGCACCCCTCCATCTATTCTTCACACCGATCACATGGGAGGGGGTAGGAGGAGGAATTAAAAAAAAAAACAACTTTTTAAAAAATATCCACATAGTAAAATCAAGTTCAAGTTACATGGCACTTGCCAATCGATGTTTTTTCCTGGGAGAACTGTATTCAGAAATAAAAGTATTTGCCCCATTGTGGAGGTCCCACAAAAGCCTCTGCTCCCAATTTCAGGAGGGGGGGAAGAATGGCAGTGGGTGTGACTAAAGCTCAAACATAATGGCCGGACACCCTGGACCCTTCAGCCAGAGTCTCTGGGGCATAGGGACATGGGTGTCACCTGCAGAGGATTCCTTCTCTAGCAGATGTGGAGATCATGCATTTAAATCTCTAAAACTCTAGTGTGCTCAGTTTCAAAGGAGTGTGTGTGTGTGTGTGTGTGTGTGTGTGTGTGTGTTTCTGTGTTTCTGTGTGTTTGGGGGTAGGGGGAGGGCAGACTAGAGAAAGGAACAACAGGGTCGGACATACATCTTCCGATATACATCTGAAGTCAAAAAGACTTAAGATGTTTATGCAGCTCTGGGCACTGGAGAGTGGGCTGAGAACGGGCACCTGAGCGCCATACCTGCCTGGAGCTGGCCACCAAAGCAGATTTCCACACATACAAAAAATAACTGGCAGGGAGCAGCCATCAAAGTACAGGGACACACTGTAACAGTTTCAGCCTGCAGCATGGAAAACTAGTATATACAAGATGGAACCAAGTTACCAGAGACTTTCCACTCTGCAGCTGAATCCCAAACCACCTGGGTTCCGATTCCACTTTCGCAGGACCTGGGGAAGATGCACCAGCTCACCACAGCATTTCTGCATCATGCAAATATGTTCATTTTATTCCCAGCCCTCAAAGTTTAGAAATCAACTTTTGCAAATTGGAGGCAAGACTGCTGGAACTGTGAAGTCTTTTGTTACACATTTACAAACTACCCAAGTCAGTGACTTCATTTAGGCCAAGGATCTCTGAAGCAGTTTTACTATTGTTACAATGTCCTCTCTGCAGTTTGGGGCCCCCCCCCCCCCTGCATTATCTTGCTAGGATTCCCCATCCCCCACCCTCTGCCCAGATTAAGGCAGGCACTGAATACAGTCCCTCTGGCCAAAGTCCAATTCATGGTCTACCTAAACTATCCTGAAACATATGCTCAGGACACAAAAAAATTACAAGTAACATATTAAAGGAAATACAGATCACCGATGTGCAGATGCAGCTCGATAACCAATGCACTTGGCAGCTGTGCTGAAAGCAGAAGAGATATCCCAGAGTTTTCATTGCAAATGCCTCTGGACTAACAAAACAGTGCCTCTATAAATTGACCTGCCTTCCTCAAAACAGGTAACACATTTCTATAGAATAAATAGCAAGCCCAGGTCCTAAAAGCATCTCCTAAAAAGCTAGAAGCAGGGCTTACAATTTTTGCACATAATTGTCTATCCATGTTAATAATGCGTTATTTTTAAGTGTTTTGGATTGTTTTAAAATTCTTATCACAGAGGGCAGAGGGCTCATTCTCCAGGGGGTAACCACCGGGATCTTCTGCCAAATACTGGAAGCTGGAATCTGGGGGGGGGCTTTTGGGCAGGGCTTAAGACCACTCTCTAGACAAAACCCCCCGAAGACCACTCTCTAGACAAAACCCCCGAGGTCCAGTCTAGATAGTGGCAACGATTCCCCCCACCCCCTACCCCCGCCTCGTTATCTCCAATAGCGCCAGATCCTGGGCTGAAATTCACCCAAACTTCCTAACAGCTACTCGGCCAAACCGCCCCCCAACCCCCACCCCAGTCCTATCGCCTCCCCAAATCTGACCCCCACCACGTGCGCCAGGGGCCTCTCAGAGCTGTGCGTGGTACAAGAGGCTTCCAAAGTTCAGAGATTCGCTTCCGTTTTTTATTTTTATTATACCTGGGAGAAGAGGAAAATAAAAGGGGGGAGGGGGAGGGCACATAAGGGGCTCTCCTTACATTACCGAATTCAGGGAATTCAGGCTAGTAGCGAACATGGCCCAGAACACAGGAGGACCAAGCGCTGACTCCGGGCCACACCACCACCTCCCCTACCCCCAGGGGATGCAGAGCTGCGGGTGGGCGTCCCCCATGGACCCTAAACCTGGAATTTCACCCCCCTCCCGCCGCTGCCTGGTGGGTGGGGGGGGGGGCTCCAAACAGCAGGGGAGGGCAGGAGAAAAGTTTCTTCGGGAAGGCGCAAGAAAAGCCGCAGATCGGATGAATGAAACCGGGCTAAGGGCATGCATCCCCCCCCCCCCTCCCACCTGGGGGCTAAGGGCATTCCCATCCCCAGCATACACACACCCCCCAGCCCACCTCGCCCGCGAGCCGGCTTTTTTTTTTTTTTAACCCGCTGAAGTCAGAAAAAGAGAAGTCCAAGATGGGTTGAAAACAAAAGAACCTCCACGGAATCCCCTCACCCGAGAGCGCGGTCCAGCGCGCGGCCCGGCCAACGCGCTCCTACGGGAGGAGATTGCGGTGGGGGGAGGGAAGGAAGGAGGGTGCGGGGGGCGCGCGCGGACGGTCCCGGTTGAGGCGGGCACGCTGCGGGCGGCGCCGGGGGTCCTCTCCCCGCTCCCGCGACCACCCGGACCACCACCACCGGCACCACCCCGCCCAGCAGGCCGGCGCGCGAGTCACACCCTCCCGGCACACACCCCCGCGCCCGCGCGCACGCGGCCTCGCCGCGCCGGCCTGGGAGGTGGGGGGGGGGGATTGCGGGAGAGCCCCCCTCGCGCGCGCGCGGTCCCCAGCCCCAGTTGCCCACCCACCCAGGCCTCCCCTCCGCCGCGCGGCCGGAGGGGGGCGGCGGCCTAGCGGCTCACGGGGCGTTGGGTGGGGGGGAGACACCCGCGCCGGCGACGCGGGGCGCTCTCGCCCAGGACGAGGGGGGACGGGAAGGTCACTTACCCGCTGCATGGCTTTCAGGATCAAAGCCAGCTCGTAGCGGGGCATGCCCGACCTGGGAGGCGCGCGCGGCTCCTGGGCGAGCCGGCGGGGCTGTCCGCGGGGCGGCGGGCGGGCACAGGGTAAGCCGGAAGGCTCCGGACGCCGAAAGCACGCTCCGGTCGCGGGAGCCCGGGCTTAAAGACGCCGGCAGCTGCGCAGAGCGCCGGCCACGCCCCCCGCCCGGGCGCGGCCACGCCCCCGCGCACCGCGCCACGCCCCCGCCCGGGCGCGGCCACGCCCCCGCGCGCCGCGCCGCGCCGCGCCCCCCTCGACAGGCGGGTACGCTCGCCGCCCTGCAGCTCCCTCTCCGGGCTCCCGCGTCCCCGACACTCCCCGCAGCACGGAGCCGGGGTTGGGGAGGGGGTGGGCGGTGCAGCGAGCGCGCCCGCCACGCCTCCCCGCCGACCCCCTGGCTACCTAGGGTTCTCGAACCAGCTGGAACTTTCCATGCCTTCCGTCTCGTCCTGGGCGGCGGGCGAGCCTGAGCCCCCGTGTGCGCCTGCGCCACGGTGCGGGCTTGTGGGTGCGCGCGCCCCTCGCCCGCGGTTCCTCCCGCTGCACCCACCCTCAGAGCTCTGGGGACCCAGCACGGTGGCCACGCTGTTGTTGCCCAGCGGGGCTGCGGCCGCTGCAGCGGGGAAGCTTGCGGGGCACCCCCCCTCCCCCAGCCCACCACCGCTGCCTTCCGGGGCTCGGAGCTGTTCTCGAACCTTCCTGCACCCCCCCCCCACACGCACACGACTATGCTCCTCCTCCCCCAAGCTGGGTGTGCAAGGACAGCGAGGGACCCCCTCCCTAGCGGGTCCCCCCCCCCAACCCCGGCCCCTCTGGCCGTCTTCCCGGCCTCAAGTGCGCCCCCCAACCCCCACGGGCCCCTGCCCCAGGGTTCGGATGTACCTCGTCCCCCGCTGGCTGCGTGACCTTGGGCCGGCTGCCGCTGCGGACAGGGGCCGTGAAGGACACCTGCTTCCAGGGGCTGCGGTGCCTGGGAATGAGTTGATGCTCCCGGGCCACTCGCTCGCACCGCCTGGCACAGGCCCAACGAGGCGGGACCCGGGCCTGGACACACGTGTTGCTTCCAAGGGCAGGCCAATACTTTGGGCTCGAACTAATCATGTTCTGTCCATGTTTTCTGGCCATTCGGTTGGAGGGCCAGCTGAAGGATACTTGGAAAGCCATTGAGAGACAGCCTGGTTTACTGAGCTGGGCTGGAGGCTCACACTACACACATACACACACACACACACACACACGCACACCCCAAATGTGCACTCTGGCCTCCCCTCTTTAGCCTTCATTGGTTTGGTTTGGGGCCACACCACCAGTACCCAGGGCTTACACCTGGCTCTGCACACAGGGATCCGGGACATAAGGGGTGCTAGGGATCCAACCCGGGTCAACGGGGTGCAAGGTGGGGGCCTTAACCGCTGTACCATCACAGTGCACACACACATACACACACAGACATACACACCCCGCCTCAGGCTTTGAGTCTGTTGTTCTAAATGCAGGCGCTGTACTAAATGCATCTTTTTATTCCTTGAGATTAGAGAACGAGATCCCTGCCACTGTGACCCTACTCAGCTTACCCTGGTGAAAGAGTCTGTTTGGAAATGTTCCTTAGCTCTTGGAGAGTTTAGAGAATAACAGTTAAAATTTAATGGGCATTTACTATGTATCAGACACCGAACAGACCTTTGCTCTGTGTGTCAAATCTTTCCCACAGGGGCTGGAGAAATCATACAGTCGGGAAGCAGGGCGACTTTGCACATCATTTTCCTTTGCACATCATTGACTTGGGTTTGATTCCCTGCACCTCATGTGGTCTCTCAGCCCTGAGCGCGCGCGCGCGCGCACACACACACACACACACACACACACACACACACACACACACACAAAGTCCTTACCACAGTGCAGTTATTTCTTAATTGCCGCTCTCCTCCCAACCCACCCCCACCTCAAAGAGATAAGGACAAGGATGCTATGAACATAACTTTTCTGTGATATCTGGCCTTGAACATGTTCTAGTTTTGAACTTCACATTCCATCCTCTTTCTAGGAGCAATGATACTGGTTCTAATAATTATTAAACCCATTTTTGGGTGCCCAGACTTAATTAGCAAAGAGTCTATAACTGTACTAAGTAAAACATAAATCTGGACCTAGGCTACAGCAAAACCTGAGTCCTTACTCTTAATTCAATCTCTTAATTCTTAATTCAACCTTGGATTTTCTATATTCCATGGCTTTGCCAAGTAAATGACCAATACAGTTTATTTTATTGGGACCAGGGACATAATGCAGTGAGTTTCTTGACGTGCAGGCAGCTGCCCTGGGTACCGTCTGCAATACCCCCATGTGGTCCCCCAAACCCACCAAAGGAGATCCCTGAGCACAGAACCAGGAGAAAGTCCTGAGCACTGCAAGGCAGCCCCTCCAAAGAAGTCTCTTCTGTTTCTTAACTGCTAACCACCCCCCCAGCAAATAAAAAAAATAATATAATATTTTTTGTAATATCTGGGCTTTAACACTCTCTGGTCTTGGATGTGACAATCCATCCTCTTCCAAGGAGTAATGACACTGGTTCTAATACAAATTATTCATTTGTGTAGACTAATTTCCTCTTTGACTAAATAGTGCTGTGGGTAGATAAAAATGAGGAATTTGTTGTCGAAGAAAGAATGGAACGTCTCACCTTCAGAAGTAAGAGTGGGACTGGAGAGACAGTCCAGCAGGTCAGGTGCTTGCCTTGCACGCCGCTGACCAAGCAACCCATATGGTTCCCCGAGCACTACTAGGAGTGCAGAGCCAGGAGGAAGCCCTGCACACTACCTGGGGTGAGCCAAAGAGCCAAGACAGGGAAAAGCCCATATCTGTATTAAATGGTGTTTGGAAAACTAGACACCCAATTAATCCCCAGACAAAAATCAAGTCAAAACAAATTAAAACTTAAAACAGTTTTAAATAGAACTGAAATAAGAAAATTAGAAGAAAACTAAAACGAGAGGGAAAGCATCTCAGTTTCTGCCTTCAGGCACCCAGAGGTATCTTAGGCATTATCTGAGTCCTGTTGTCTTGGCAAATGTTCTTGCTTCTTTCTTCTGCCAGCCACTTTTCTCCAGTTTCCAAGATCCTTCCTGTGCTGTTTGTCTCCCCCTTACCCCTCACCCCTGCCTCCTTCCTCCAGCAACAGTTTCCCAGACATTTTGTCAGGGACCCTCTACAAAACTCAGGGGATCTGCACTCTGGGAGGGTTCTCCTTAATCCTCCTCCTAGCTCTGGGTTCTCTCTCTCTCTCTCTCTCTCTCTCTCTCTCTCTCTCTCTCTCTCTCTCTCTCTCTCTCTCTCTCCCTCTCCCTCTCCTTCTCCCTCCGTGTGTGTGTCTCTTTCTCTTTCTCTCTCTTTCTCATTTCTGGATGTGATGGTTCTCCAAAGCAAAGAATCATCCCAGCATCAAGGATTTAAGGCAGGACCTCCGCATTCACAGTATTAGAAATTTAGGGACTGTGATGGGGGTGGGTGGGGCGCTGGGAGTATGATGAGCAGTGTGTGACACCAAGTCTGTTCCACAGTGCAGGGTTGAGGGCTGAAAAGAAGAGGACAGAATAGTGAGAGGGAATGAAGGATTGCAAAAGGGGCAGGTACACCACAGGAGAAGCCCCGAGAACACTGGGTAGGGCTTGGAGAAAGTGGGGTTCCAAAGGAGAATCAGGAGAAAGAGTCGGTAGAATTTGCTGGTTTGATTAACTATTTGAGCTATAAGGCAAGTGTCAACACTGACTCTGGGTCTCTTTATTTATTTGGGGGGAGGTTTGATGTGGGGGGCGGGGGCAGTGCCCAGGTTTTCTTTGATTCTGCACTCAGGGATCTCTCCTGGTGATGCTCAGGGCACCATATATAGTTCCAGGGATCGAAGGGGGTTGGCCACATGCCTTGCCCTCCAAACTATCTCTCCCATCCCTCTGGGTTTCTTTTTCAGGAAAAAGAAAAAGAAATACCTGCCATCAATGCCTGCCCCTCAATGCCCTTCCCACATTCCCTAATCCATACAATTATGGTTACAAGTTGGGGTATTGGTATTTCTCTCTCCCATTGTCATACCTTCCTCCATCTTCATCATAAGATTCTAATCTTTCTAAAGCACTAATATGATTTTTTTTATTGCTCTAAAGAACAGCTGGCTCTCTTCAGGGATTTTCCCCCCAGAGAAGGAAGGAAGGTCATGGTTCTAGTTCTACGTGGGATCTTCCACACAAGGAATGTTGAAAGGTGGGTGTCAGGGCCTCACCAGCCAACACTTCCTGGGAAGAAGGTCAAGCCAGCAGGATCCTCTCAACAAAGGCGCAGTCCACCTGTGTTAGAAGGTATTCCTCCTAACAACCCAACAACACACGGTCATCTCCAGGAGAAACACGGCGAGCCCTGGGTGATGGCCGTTACAGCACAGAAGAAGCCCTTCAGCTGAACTTGGTTGCTTCTTCCTTGTGCTAACATAGAAGATGATGGGTAGGTGGGAGTGTTGGGGAGCCACAAAGGACAGAAATGAACTAGAAGTAAAGGCTCATTTGCAGTGAGGACGGATCTGGTAAGGAGTCAAAACCCACAACAGAAGCTCTTAGATTTCGTCTCTCAGAATGTCAAATCAGGAGACAGTATTTACCTCGTCTCTAGGAGTACCTTTCCCCTCATCCCCCCCAATTTTCCATAGTTTTTTTAAATAAACATAATGGCAATCATGGCAACAGGAACATATTCTGAGAAAAATATTGTGAGGGTATTAAGATTACAAAGTCAATATAGTAATCTCACAGTAAATCAGCTTGCACTTTCAGCCCAGGTTCACTGAGACTTACACTATGTAGTAAGGAGTATGGGAACTTAGTTCCCGGCTTGAGTAAAGCTGAATATTAAATACATAAATACTAAGAAAACTCTAAAGCACCACCTTAAGCAAGTTTTCCTCTATTATTCTCTCAGCAAACAGAACAGACCACTTAGGTGATCGAGAACCTTCCACCCAGGACTTTCATCAACGCTGCCCACATAGGATTATGTTTCTACCACCAATTCTTTATAAATCCAGCTTTTGTTTTCCT